CGATCTGATGTCCCCATCATCAAATCATTTAAAAAATGTAATATGAACTATACAACCCATTAAGAAGTTTCATGATAGAGGAAAAAATAAAATCTCAACAAAAGATAGAACTGTGTACTTCTTATCTTTTTTATATTCCATATTCTTTGACTCTTCCATCTTTAGTACCAATTAATATGATGCAAACTTGAAATTAAGATGAAAGATAAAAAATAAATATTTTTCAATGTATTGCAATACATTAAAAAGAGAAAAAAAATGATTTTTTGCTAGCATGAAGCAACAAAATTCTTGCGACATCTACATGTAAGAGAAATTATGTTATAGGATATAATCGGCAAAGAAAAATATGTAACCACCAGTGTTAGCATTAAATATTTTTCAATTGTTTACTTGTGCTAGTACATTACTCTGGTATAAGAAGGCTAGAAGGTCTAACATTAATAACAACAGAATGTTAATTGAAAACAACTGATTAGAACTTCAGGTCAAGGAATAAATAGAAGAATTTAGAAAATAAAATTTATCATAAAAAAGATAAGGGAATATGCTACAACATCTATGTGGTCAAAGCATTGATTAGAAAATAAAATTCATGCCCGGTAGGTCTACTATGGAAGCCATGCATTTATTGAGAGGTTTGATGGAGAAATATAGAGAGAGAAAGGAGGATCTACATATGATATCTATTGATTTAGAGAAAGCGTATGATAAAGTCCCAAGATAAGTTCTATAGAGAGTTCTTGAAAAGAAAGAAGTTAATAATGCTTATATTCAAATCATTAAAGATATGTATGTAGTAGCTATTACTAGTGTTCAAACACAAGGTGGTTTGACCAAGTATTTTTCTATTTCGGTTGGATTACATCAAGGATCAACCTTAAGCCCATATCTTTTTGCTTTAGTCATGGATGTTCTCACTAGACATTTGCAAGAGGATGTACCTTGGTGTATGTTTTTTGCTTATGATATTCTTCTTGATGATAAGACTAGAGAGGGAGTTGAAAGTAAACTTATCAGTTGTTTATTAGCAGAATTCAAATTGGATGGTGGAAGTGAAAGAAAGCATCGGGCTTGTTGTGTGATAGAAAAGTCCCCCTCAAACTTAAGGGAAAATTCTATAAGATGGTGATGAGACCTGCAATGCTTTATGGTGCCGAATATTGGCCACTAAAAGAGAAGCATAATACTAAGTTAAGTGTTGCAGAGTTGAGGATGCTCAGGTAGATAAGTGGCTTTACCCGTAGAGATAGGATACGAAAGAGCTTATAAATGAAAAGGTTGGAGTAGCTCCAATTCAAGATAAGATTAGAGAGAGTCACCTTAGATTGTTTGGTCACATAAAATGACAACCTTCCGATGACCCAATTAGAAAAGTAGAGGTATTAAGTTTGACTTGTGTTAAGAAAGGTGTAGGTAGACCTAAAAAGACTTGGTTATAAAATATTAGAAATGATCTTTCTTTATTAGATTTAAATGAGAATTTGACTTTTAACATGACAAAGTGGAGAAAAAAGGATTCATGTAGTGCTTGATGTTGTTGATGTTGTTGTTGTTGTAGAGAGTTTTTATGAATTCCTTCTCTATAATGATACTTTTTGTGCTCCCTTCATTGATCATTTTACTTGTCCCGGTAGTGATATTGAACAACAATAGTGATCACATCGGTCATCTCTATTTGAAAGTTTGATCATGGTCAATATCTATTTAAAAATATGATATCGTTCAAGATCTCAGTGCAATGCACTGAAAGTTGTATTGATTCCAGGATACATTGCAATCTGTGCTATACAAGGATGGCATCAGCCTTCTTGTGGCTCGCTTATGTTGCATGTGCTTATCATGCTTCTCTCGGTGCCTGCTCTTACTAGCCTAGAATCATTCTAAATTATCTTCAACTAGTTGGAGGTGAGCTAACTTTGATAATTATGTTGGATATGGATACAGGACTGCAATGGCCGGCTTTTAACTGTAAATAAAGCTGCTCCTAGAGGGTCCCGGCCTGAGAGGACTCCTCGGGAATTTGAGCCTTCTTTAAGGGTATATGTTGGAAACTTACCATGGCAAGTTGATGACACCCACTTAGAACAATTATTTAGTCAACACGGAAAAGTATTGAGTGCGAGGGCTGTTTATGATAGAGAAACTGATCGATAAAGAGGATCTGGTTTTGTCACAATGGAGTCCAAGAGTGAGCTGGATGATGCAATTGCTGCTCTTGATGGACAGGTCGGCCCAATTCTAACTGCTATTTTAATAGCATTATTAATTTATTGGAGCAATAACAACTTTTGGCTTTTTCTTGGCATGTTACTAGCTAAAATTTTGTTGAAGATGATTTAACCTTTTTGGCATATCGATGCATGACAATTAAGGGTTAAGCAAAAATTCAAATTTGTCCCCCGAGTATTTGTATGCGATCAATGAAGTCCTAAAGTATCTTTTTTTTTCTATTTAATTTCTCTACTATACAAAGATCTCAAATGGCCCCTCAAGTATAAATTGATCAAAATTGTGATACGAAATTGTTCTAAATTTATTTCCACGATTTTAAAAAATTCATTTCAATTTAGTTGCTGGATTTTGCAAAATCCATCATAATTTAGTCCTTGAGGGACTACATGGGATCAATTTTGTACAATTGAAAAAAATGGAGAAATATAATACTTAGAGACTAAATTGGCCATATACAAATTTTTGGGGGATTATTTAAGACTTTTTCCCGTTAAGTGTCCATAGGATTACTAATGCACTCTAAGATGAGATGTAAAATGAATATAGAAAAAAAATCGTAGATTGCTAGCTTTTAGCTTGTAATAAAAAAATCAGTTTTTTTCTATGCATAAATAGAACCATCGTTTTTATTCAAAGTGATAGTTTAATAATCTCTAAAATATGAAATTTTAGAAATAAACAAACATAAAATTCCAGCAACAATCAAGTTCACACTACGCATGTTTAACTTAACGGGAATCTATCATAACAAAAATTGCTCTCCATCTTTCATTCTAAACCTACTTTTATTTTTTTACAGAGGTTTCTGAGTTAGCAGCTCCATTTACTTTCAATATAGTTAAAAAGTTTTCCTTGTCTACTTGAGCATAGGGATTTCGATTAATGATAACCTACCAGGTTGGTGGTCACGGTGCCTTCTATCTCAGATTTGCATTGTACTCAAATCACCCAAATGGAGGATTCATGACATTGAAACATTGAGACTCATCACCAGAAGTACTCGCAATACATGCAAAAGTCTCAATGAATTCACATTCAACCAGCATAGGCAGAAGAATTGAAAAAAGCTGAAAATTTTTTGTTATAAACTTTTATTTATTCTTACCACTTTGAGAGGTCCTATTTATAACTCACAAAGAATCTTAAATTTCTCGTTATCTTTCAAAGGCTTTATTTGAAACGGATTTTTTACTGCTTCTTTAAGTGCAAGATGGTGAAATTTATATTTTAAATATTAAAATTTTAAATTCCTAAGCCCATTGTTGCTATTATATGCAGATAACACATATTTCTATGAATCTGATTGATGACTAGCCTTAATCGAAAGTTCTCTCTCATTATCGGGAGGGTTAGTTAACTATAGGGGCTTACGCCTATAGGAAACCAGAACTCAGATAATAAAGTCCTCGCAAAATGAGGGTGAAATCTCTGGGTAGTGTCTTATCTACAAACCCACATGCTTTTCCAAAATTTACCCTGGAACTTAGTTAGTTAAAACTCCCCCCGAAGATAAAAAGCAACGCGGGCGGAGGCCGGGACCGAATTTTCATAGCCCACATTAATACACAACAAAAAATGATGTGGAACATTCTGATTCGTCTTTGGACGCCGTCCGGTAATCGCACAGAATAATTTCTCCCTCAAAAGATAAATGAAATTAAATATGATGTATACGGTCTTAACTCGTTTGCTTCAGCAACTTAACCTTTTTTTAATTAAATCGTTCTGGAAGCTCATAAGCATTGTCTTTAAAGTTCATCTGAATCATTTTTTTTTTTAATTAAGAAGAAACGTTGACACTTTTTTTTCCTTTAAAAACTGCCTTAAATTTTCAATATTTTATGGCCAAGATATTTGCATTTTCAGTCCTTAAATTCTTTCAAAATTGACAAAAATAATATTATAGTGCGTTTGGTCATGCATATCTTAAATTTTAATGTATAATTTAATGAATTTTGAATAAAAAAAATATGTAGACGATTGAAGTGCTTGTACTCGTATATTCTTCTAAACTCAAATTCAAGTCAAGCAGAGCTGGCTCGTCAATTGTCATCTTGATGAATGATAGTTATTGAAAATTTGTCCAACCTTCAAGCATCGACAGGCTTTGTGCTATTTATAGGAAGGTTTTTTTTACTCATAATAGTTTTAAAAACCGTGTTTTTTTTTCAGTTACGATCATTTATAAATATATAAAAGACAACTGGGACAAAACCTAAATGCTCGTAACCGAAAAAGAAAAACACGGTTTTTTAAGCTATTACGAGTAATATAATTATATATATATATATAATTATTTTATTTCTTTTTAAAAAAAATTTTAATAAAAAAAATTTTATATCAAACATTTGCTTTAAAAAGGAGTAAGAAAGCTGTCACGAACGAAATTTATTGACTTGCCACTATTTTTATTTTTCCTATTCTATTTTCCTACAATTTTTTTTTTATTCTATTTTCCTACAATTTTTTTTTAAAAAAAAAATTAAAATAAATTTATTTTATATATCAAAATATCTATATTTCAAAATATATTTATGAGTTATAAAATAAGAAATCTTGTTTTAATTCTGGACAATGAACTATATATGTACAACATGCTTCAAATTTTGTGATAGCTTCCAATAGGTAGTTTCATCTCCCAAGAAATTTATTGTAGTTTAATTTTTTATTTATTGTAAAACGTCTCAAATGATTCCATAATTTGATATGTTATATATATATATATATATATATATATATATTAGTTTCTTAAAAAATTTTCTTTATATTTCTCTCTCCGTAATGCAGGCCTTAAACAATTATCTTCTTGGATTCCAGCTCTATCTATCTAGTTTTGTATTCCTATATATCTCTTTCTACCATTGGATTCCCACACAGATGAAAATGAGCTTCTCTAAAATGAACAATAGCAACATCTCTTCTTATACAAAAACCAATGGAATTGACCTCATTGATGATTTGTTGATGGAGATTTTCACCAAGCTACCAGTGAAGAGCATCTACCGCTGCAGATGCGTATCAAGGTCATGGCGGCGGCTTGCAGATCGTTGCATCGCCGTAGGGCTCCCATTAGTCTTCTGCGCCATGTTCTACCGTAGCGGTCCCAGAGATATCGATCTTGAACCTAGATATGGATGTAATTGTAATGGTAGTTTCCAAGAAACAGACTTCAGTTACCTACCATTTTACCACAACTCCAACATCATAGATTGGAACAATAGTCTTCTCCTCTTTTACAGAAGGATTTCCTTTGATTTTTATGTATGCAATCCTACCACCAAAAAATGGGCAGCTCTACCCAAGCCAAGGGGCGAGAGCCAACACTCAATACTAGCTTTTGATGCTTACGAATCACCATATTACAAGGTGGTTTGCTTTAGTAGTGGGTGTCAAGCACAAGTAGGCCAGCTTGAAGTCTTCTCGTCAGAGACCGACCAATGGGTCGAACATAGCTTGAATTGGGGAGTTAATTCAAGCCACCTCACATCATGGATGCATTACTTTGATGGTGTTATTTATGTTCTTGCTTATCCTAGACATGTTGCTTGCATTGATCTAGAAAAGATGTGTAGCAGCGTAATTGAGTTTCCTGACGACATTGATAATGTGGCTTCTTTGGGAAATTCTGGTGGGTTTCTCCACTGCGCAATAAATGATGCAAATGAATTGAGGATTTGGGTTTTAAAAGGAATAGAATGGATGTTGAAGAACATAGTAAGTGTTTCAGATATTTTAGAATGGAAAGGTGACTGCATATATACATCTCCTCTTGCTTCTTTGGTTCAGGGGCAGTTTAAATTCTTGGCTTTTCATCCGAAGGAGGATGTGGTTTTCCTATGGGTTATGGGTAACTTGATGTCTTATGATCTTTGTAAGAAGATATTTGATTTCGTTTGTGAGCTGGGAACAGAGAAGGAGAAGATTCTAGTGAATCAGATTTGGCTATTTCTTTAAAACTTTATGGAGTTCTTAATGTTCTTATTAGAGATTTGATTCAAGTTCTCGAATTCATATAAAAAACTTTTTTTAAGAGTAAGTTCTCTAACTTTTACAAGAACTTCTAACATGCATTATGAATTTTCTAACTCTTGTAATAACTCACATCATAAATTATGAAAAAGAAATCGAAACGAAAAAAAAATATAATTTTACATAATTCTTAAATCTCCAAAATCTTAAACAAAATGATTTTCACGAACTTTTAATCGAAAGAAAAATATACCTTGATTCATTTTGAATTCATCTATATCCGAACTAGGTTTCTATCCATTTTCCCTTTCACTTTCTTCTTTAATGAGTTAATTCTCTATGGAGCAAAGTAACTCCTCATAATGAGAGAGAGAGAGAGAGAGAGAGAGAGAGAGAGAGGACCGATAGTTATTTCCTACAAATTGGTTACAATAACCGCTTGTAGGAGTTATTTGATCAAACAGTCCATAAACGATTGATCAAATTAGCTCTTTTTGACCAATAAGATTTAAACATAAATAATTAAATTTCAATATTCTAATATATGGGTCACTTAATGATTTATATGATTAAATATATATTCCTAAATAATTATTGCAACGTCGCATAATTATTATATTTAATTATTCTAACCGTCTCCATATTCAGATAATGTTTCAAATTGCTTGGCTTGATGGGAATTCAGTTTCTATAATAGTTTTTTATATTCTATGATTTATTTGCGGCAAGTAAATGAGAAATTATTCTGTGCGGATGTCAGACACAGCTCTACGTCCAGATGCCACGGTACAGTAAGAGGATGACACGAAACATTCTGGTTGGTCTCCGGACAGCTTCCGGCATCCGCACAGAATAATTTTTCCAAGAAGGATGTATAGATTCTATAGAAATTTGAATAGGGACACAGGTGATTTAAATTTTTGTACAGTCGAAAGAATTTCGTAGCTTCTTAGGTTAGTATAAAAATTGGTGGCTTTCGTTTGCCATTTGAAGACTTCTTCCTTGAGGAAGTGGCTGATGGGAGGAAAAGGTGGAGGTACTAAGTTGACACAAAACTTGCAAGAAAGTCGATTGAGACCGCAATTCAATCCATTCATTGCTTCACTATGTAGGCATGTAGCCATTTATTATATTTGTTGGCTTCAGTTTTTGTCCTGCAGTAGTGCTTAAAGGATAGGAGAAATTATTTTGTGCTGAGTATGGATGGAAAGGATCGTCTGAACTGTGAGTATACATATTATGTGTATATAATTTGTATAAAAATTTGATACATATCGTGTATAAATTTATACATAATATGTACACTCATATATCCAAACGATTCTTCCTATTCAGACCCCACATAAAACTATTTCTCCAAAGTTAGTGTTCGATTTTTTATTTTACTTGTACCATTTTTACTTTTTCCTGCCATCGCCTCTTCATTCTTGTGCTTATCGACGAAGGAATGCCAGTTATTGTGTTTCTAACACTTGTATGGTGCGGCGGTGGGGTTTGGCCTAACCCTCTTTGCACTGCGGATGCTAACAAATAATCAAGTGGAATCCACAAATGTGTTTTTGGACACCTGATTCTTCCTTTGGCTGATTTATGGAGGGTTTCATTTTTGTATAATTTTTTATATATTTTATATTTTTTAAAGTTGTTATAGAAAAAAATAGTATAATTTTTTTAAAAGAAACAAAAATTAATGATCAATTAAAAATAATAATTATGATCTAAAAAATAAAATATGAAGAAACATGTCTCTTAAATTTTCAAGGGCTCTTTCTAATGGCGGAGCAAGAAATTTTATTCAGGAGTGACCTAACTTAAAACTTTCACATAAACATCTTCCACTGGCAGTCTTTATTTAGGGGCAAAAGAGGAGCGAAAGGGAAAACGAAAGTCATGCACAAGGTCGCGGGCCACAACTTACACCAGAAGAGAAAAAAGAAAAATGAATCATTGATGCTTTTTAGGTGACCAAAAAAAGATGTTGGTGGCTTCTCTAATTAATAAATAACTTTAAAAGGAAGAATTACAAAAATTAGAGCAAGTTTCTTCGTTGGCAAACTTTTTGCTCTATTAGGCCACTAAAACAATCAGCTTCGAGTTCTTTTAAGCTTTAGCAAAATTCTTTAGAGTAGCCACTAGAGAAAGTCATTCCTCCCTCTCTCTCTTTCAGCTAAAGCATTGCATGGTCTAGGTAAAGGTGGATTGAAGACTTGAAATGAAAAAAAAAAAAAAAATCCTGTAATTTTTTTTGGGGGGCTAGCTATTTCGATCATTTTTATTTCAAATGGTCGTGGCTAATAGTGATTATTGGTTTAAAATTTCTTAAAATATTTAAAAGAAATATGATAAATAATATATTTTAAAAAATTAAAATATCCTAAAAGGCCTTATCTTTTTTTTTTTTCTTGGAAAAATTTGGGCATAGCCCGTATATTAAATGAATGGGTTACAAAAAAAGGTAAAAAAAAAACCCTAGTCTCACAGCTCAAACAAAAAGGAGCTGAGAAAGGAACACAGTTAAAAACAACATTACAAATACTCCAAAATAAAACACATAAAAAAGAAACATAATCTGTATAGAAATGGACAGAGAGCTCAAGTAAAATCTGGAACCAATTGAATAAAACAAAGAATAGCCTGGAACTGATCATCTCGAGTTGAACCCCCAATTGCTAATCAAACAGTCGATTCCGCAGGGTGCAAAAAATGCCAGGCCATATGCGGAATAATTAGAGAAGAAGAGCATGGTGCGACGACCATCCAGGGGGCGTGAAAGCAAAAACAGCTGGTTCCAATCATCATTGCCCAGTTAGCAAAATGCACACCCAGCGACAGATCATAAATTATTTTTAAAACAATTGGGAATAGAGGAGAGAAGCAGCTCATAGTTTTTCCATTTGGACACCTTTGCACGTACGACCATACAGCTCATAAATTTCATGTTATTTATATGGAGATCTTCAATATGCCATGATTGTGATGCCAGAATGTTTGATCTTTTGAGATGGGATATTCATCCGATTAAAGTGAATTGCTTCCTTAACTTGCGCACACTTTGGATTTGGAGTATTTCACAGCCTCATGGTTTAGTTGTTCCTGACGCAAGCAAGTTTATAGTCAAATCAACCTCAGATGTCTTGGAGTTGATGCAATTTGGGCAAACAAATAGGGCTGTTGGTTCAACTGCTTTAAATGAAAGAAGTAGTCAATCCCACAGGTCTCTTCTTCTTCTTTTCAGGCTTATAAATTCCTTTTGAACTTATGACTGGTGCTGATTTTCAGTTTTTGCAGCATTCTCACTGTTCATGTACGAGGTGTAGATTTGAAGACTGGTTCTACTTCAAGGGACTGTCTATATTTAATAGAAATGGCTGGAAGTGAGAGAGTTGACCGCTTTAAAGCTACAGGAGATAGACTTAAAGAAGCACAACACATCAACAAGTCTCTTTCAGCCCTTGATGATGTCATATTTACACTGTCTCAGAAGAGCGCTCATGTTCCATACAGAAACAGTAAACTTACTCAAGTTCTTCAGAGTTCACTAGGTACTTTTGCATTATTTGTTCTTACTATAGGGATTTGTTGATTTTACTAGTATTTTTAGTTGCTCATAGGAATATCTTAATGAATTTCTATTAAAAGGAATTCCTTATTGTTATTCTTCTCACGTGTTGAACATAATTTCTTATTATGATAAGAATTCTAAAGAAAAAGTAATCTTTTGTTTTCTCCCAGCTCCACGAATTGCATGATGTTTCATTACTGTCCTAGAAAATCTCAGTGGCGTTAACATTGTTGAAGAAAAGCTTGGCTGCAGGTCCATCCATTCACTGTCTACAAAAGTGCCTGGTTCGCTCAATTATATTGTTAATGTTGTGAACAGGTTTCTACGTTTTCATAGTTTTGACATCATGTCCTCATTCACTGTTTGTTTTAGATATATGTGTTTTTTTGTATCTTTGTAACTGTCTTTAAGTATATTATTGATTTGTAGCAGCTATATTGGGCTTTGTTAATCACTTTTTCTTATTTCTCTTTGTATCCTACCTTTCTCTTCCATGAGCCTCATTCTCCACCTCCTTGGATTTCTCAATATAAAATCAACTCCAGACATTGCTTTCACAAGAAACATACTTTTTCCCCCTCCATCATAAGATGTTTCTGAATCTCTGTTTGGAAGATGGACAATTGCTCCAATGTGTGTTCTCAACATAGCTCACTGATACGTTTTCAGCATAATGGATTTAGTTAAGCATCATGATTAAGGATGGGTTACTAAAACCCAAACAAAATAAACATCTTTTTGTCCCAATACTGATCAACCTGAATGTGGGTTGCTGCTCTGAATTTACCACTGTAGTGGTTTTATTTTTATTTTCGTCTTTTTGTTTCATTCATGTCATTATATATTTTGGTCCTCGTTGTGCTGCCATTAGCTGAAATAAAAAAACTTTCAAGCATGTAATTTGTGAAAACTTTTGTGATTGCCAAGGTGGTATTTGAATTTGGAGTGAACTTTTTATGGCTATTTCAAGCTAATTTATCTTCTGGTAGCTTTATGCATTTATTTGTTTTTAACAACATTAGATCTGGCACTTGTGCAGCATGTTCAGGAATTTCGTAATTATTTCAGATATGCATTTTGGTGGGTTGTAGTTGGGGTGGCGTCATCAATTGAACTTGATGAGTTTGGTTGCACTGATAGACTCAGTTTCAGCATTCAGGCCAGACTTAATTTCCATCAAGGAGGCGGTAAGCAAACAGGCCAGACTTAATTTCCTTCTGTTTATCCATTTGACCACATGAAAATCATATTTGTTCATTTTCTTATTCATTAACTCGTTCTCTTCTAGAGTTCAAAGGGCCATTGTCTCTTTATAAAGCAGTTCAATTTTCATTACTTACAAGCAAGTACAGAGCACAGTAGCAAAAATGAGCTAGCTTTATGTTGTTGTCAGCGGCTCAGACGGGTTGGAATTGATAGCCTTCAGTGAAGAAGAAGAAGAACTTGTGTTGAAATCGTGGAACACATTGAAGAAGGATGTAGCTAAGCTTGGCCTCAAGTTCTTCTTCATGTAATGTGAAACTTTTCATATTCAAGAGCTATTTTACTGAACTTCACAACATGTATTAATTTTCAGGATATTTGAGATTGCACCCTTGGCTGCAAAGCTCTTCTTCTTTTTGTGAGACTCACAGATTCCACTTGAGAAGAATCCCAAGCTCAAAGGCCATGCAATGTCTGTCTTCATCATGGTAGTTTGCTAACACCCCCAATCTTCCTCACTCGTGTAGAGTTCATGACCATTATTGTTTTATCAAGATAATTGTTGTGATTATAGACATGTGAAGAAGCAGCACAACTCATAACTACTGGCAAGATTACTGTGAGGGAAACGATATTGAAGAAGATTGGTACCAAACACGTCGTGTATGGTGTACTTGATGAACATTTCAAGTTATTACCATGATGAAGTAATTCAATATCCAAACTACAATATTTTTCTACTCATATGTATTATAATGTTTAATATTTTATTTGTGCTTACATGTTACCAGATTTGTTCTGCTGGAGACGATAAAAGAGTATGTTCCTCATATGTGGAGCATAGAGATGAGCATGGATTGTAGCTTAAAATCACTTAGTTGAAGCTATAAATGAGGAGATGAACTCGCTTTCTTGAGAACATAATTGGTTTTTGAATTCTTGCATATGGTGTGAAGCCGTATGCAAGTTTCCTACATTTTTGCCTTGAATTATCTCAGAATTATAGAAATATTCTGATAATTTTGTTTATTAAATTATTATGTAGGGGTTGCCTGCTTGTACTCCAAGTTGAAGTTCGTTGCATCCGAAATGTGTATTGATGGATATGGAGCTGGATCCCACACTGCAAAAGTACAAGATATTGATTGGCGTTAGCATAATTATAGATTGATGTTGTCATTTATTTTTGATATAGTTTATATGAGGGAAAAATAATAATTTTGTAATTTTATATTTATTTACATAAAAGTTAATAAAAGATTTTTATGTTAATTAGATTTTATCATTTTTTAAATATTAAGATTTTATGTTTAATGATGTTTGAGATTATATTTTTTGTATTAATTGATGGATGTATTTGTAAAAGTATATGAATGAATACAATTTTTATTTTCTCCTAGCAAATTCTTAACAATGATACTCATGAATAAATATAATTTTTTTATTCTAAGCTTTCTATTATTATTACCTCAAGCTAATAAAATTTGTATTTTTTCTCTATTATGTAATTTATTTAATTAATTGCAACATAAAGGAGTGATGGATTGATCTTAATTGTTATAGCCAATGCATAATAAATGGATAATAATTTTATTTACTAAATATCACAAATTTTATATCCATAAATATATATCAACACTTAATGAAATTAAAAGGGCAGGAGATTTTTTTGATTGATCATTTTGCGACCAATTTTTATTTTTGTCGCTATAGGAAAAATATAATAAATAAAATTAATTATTAAAATTATTAAATAGCATCCAAATAAATATTCATTAGCGTCAAAAAAATGGCCGCTAATATATACAATTTTAGTGACCAATACTAATTAGTGGTCCAAAAAAATTTTTTGGTCTCTAAAAGCCTCAGCGACGAGGCTACTGCGACAAATCGGCGACCCAAATATTTTTTGTCACTATTTACTTTAGCGTCCAAATTAACATTTTTAGCCACCAATTTTGTTGGTCGCTAATTACCTATTTTCTTGTAGTAATTTGTGCTGGTTGTAACTACTATTGCTCACATCAGTAGGGGCAACAAGGCAAGCCTCATGAGATAGTCATATGTGATAATGTGAGAAGAAAATTGGCTTAGGTGAACAATAATGGATGCCAAAGATAAGGCGCATCAAATTCATATTTTTGTTTATTTTTCAAATTAAGGATGCATATAATATATTACATCTATTTTAGAAAATCGGTTCTCTATAACATTAAAGTTTTTTTTAAAAAAAAAGTTGTAGTTTTTTTTAACGATGCTAGTGGTATTATTTAGGGGTTGTTTGGTTGGAATATTTTAGGGTGTAAATTAGAGTAAATGCATGAGTTTTGAAAATCTTGGTGTTTGCTTGGATGAAAAGCAAATCCAACGTAAAGTAAATGCAGTGTATTCCCACTAAATTTTGACGGAGAACCTTTTAGACAACTCCAAAACGTGTCATTTGCTTCATAACTATTTAAGACATTTCTATCCTGTGTTCACGATAAGATGCATTCATAATTTGTGATGCAATGTTATCTACATGTTGGTAATTATCTTGATTGCATTTAGTTTTGACATATAAGTCTTATTTGGGACAACTTTTTTACTGCTTTATGAAGCAACTATATAGTATAAAAATTTCTAGTTCAAAAAAGTTTTGTACAAAAAATTGCTTTAAAATATAGTAAGAAAGTTATCCCAAATAAAATCATAATATCAATATATGAAAATATGCCTTGCTTAAATTGACTTGAGATACCTCTTCATCAATTATAGCGATGCAATAAAACCATGATCCTTAGAAAAATGAAATGCCAATTTTATTATATATTTAGATAAATCATAATTTAGTGATATCAGAACTCTCTTTTTCGATTCCTTAAATTTGGTATGCCTTGAGACTTGTATGGGACAATTTATTCCTATACCTTTTGTTGATAAACATTATGTGAAATCGCCGAAGTAAAAAATAAGCTAAACTCTTAAGGTGTAATGATTGGAATTTCATTAAGAAACTCATCCGTTAAGCATGCTCATCTTGAAGATATCCTAAGATTAGTGAACTCCTTGGAAGTTACATCAATAGGATAAAACCAAGAGACCCTTAGGCTAAAGCAAATAATATCTCAATAGTTAATAATTTGGGTTGTTGCAAATTATATCGGAGCAATACGCCAAACGGAAGATGAGAACTAAGTGTGATACAAGACAAAATTTTACGTCATGGGAGTCGCCTCATAAACATTGTATGGGACAAAGTGCTCGTGGCGGGAGTCACCACTTAAACTTGTAGGGGCGACTCATAAACCATGCATGGTACAAAGTGCTCGTGTGGGAGTCACCACTTAATCTTGTAGGGGCCACCTCTAAAATCTTATGTGCATGGTAGATGATTTTAGGATAAAGATACTAATAAAGACGTTAGTTACATAAGTGAGAAAAACCCTTTAAATAAAAATAAGCTAAACTCTTAAATAAGAAGCAATTGCAACCATTAATTAATGTTTTTTTTTTTTTAAAAAAAAAAAAAGAAAGATAAGGAAGAAGAAAGAAAGAAATATTCCTTGATGCCATCTAGTTTTGGCAAACCATTATGTGGTAGCAGAAGCTATTACCACCGATACGACAGCAACCTGATCAAAACTTAGATCATATACAACCCCCTCACTAATCTCTTCCTATATCATGGATTAAGGCTTAATTTGGTACGATATTTTTATTGCTTCCTAAAATCATTTTTTAGTACAATAATTTTTTTGAACTAAAAATTGCTATATTAAAAAACTATTTTAGAAAGCGATAAGAAATCCATCCCAAATGAAGCCTAAGACTAAAGCCCTTGTCTGTAAGAGCTTAAAGTGAGGAATTGTCTACCTTGAAATTTTTTATTTTCTGTAAAAAAATAAGCATTTTAACTATTTTGGTCGCCTTCAATAAAAACAGCTGCTCAAATTCTAAGTAAATTTTCATTTTTCATGTTTATATATAATATTATGTATTTCACAATTTTATTTTATTTATTCTCAAAAGAGAGATCGGTTTGGCCCATGAATATAAGGTTATTCTTCTCTTATAAAAGAGGTATAAGAGTTTCTCCTCCCATTGGTCGGTATGAAGAGCAAACAACTCGATTAAAGGAATCCTATGCACATGAGCATACTTTGAAAAGCCCTACAACATAAATATATAGTCTTTTTTTTGTGTGTTGTGCTCGATTGGTCCCTTGTACTTATGATGTTGTGCATTATGATTGGTCTCTGGATGACGTTCTGCATTTGATCTCTGCACAAAATAACCTCTCATGTTGGGGAAGGATCATTTAGGATAACTATTTAAATAATTATAAAGGCATTTTAATAGCATAAACCCTCACCTCCATCTCTAAAGTCGAGCATTAGCCATCAATCGTGTGCTCAAATACAAAATAAATCTTGTACTTGATTATATTATTCTTTGTTTTTAATGGACCGGAGAACATGGATATTATCAGCCTAGGCATATCAGGCCAGTAATATATAGCTCACGTAAGCTTAGTAGAGGCCCGATGGGCACACCTTGGTTGAACACTCATTATCTTTATGGCACATGTGCTATGATTAATGGAGGCCTGGGGGAAACTAGTTAACCCTAATAGAGGCCTGAAGATAATTTATTACATCACAATTAAGTATTTTCTTAACTTTCTTTTATCTATATAGGCCATATTTTAAAAGTCAGTCGAAGGCCAATAAAAAAATTTAATAAAAAAATATAAATCAAAATTTTATTTATTATATATATCTAAATAAAAAAAATTACCTGATTACATTTTAAAGCCTAAAAACTTTTGGGGTGTGCAAGATTTACTAGTGCATTTCCCTTCTCTATTTGGTTACAAAAAGGGAAGAAGAGCAATGAAGAAAAGAGGGAGGGAGAGAAGATTATACGAGTTTTTATGAAAAAGAGTTTATCTTCCAATATTAATGATCAATCATCATAAGGGATGTGCCAATATTTGACACGATTCGAAAATCCGACTTAAATCCGACAAGAAAACTATGGGTTAGGGTCAGCCCATTTATGAAAGGGGTCAGATTCTGGTTCAATAAACCGATCCATTTAAAAAGTCGGGTTGGATTCGGATTAACCCGGAAACCCAAGAATGACCAGGATTCATGGGCAGATCCACCACATGCTTAGGGTGGGCATTTGCCCACCCTCAAATTATTATTTTTTTAATATTTAGAGGGGAAATTTTGAAATATTTTTTATATTTTAGGCATTTTGCCGCCCCCCTCAATTTTTTTTTTGCCCTACTTAAATCAATACTATGCATCTTTGTCCATCCCCTACAAAAAATTTTTTTTTGCCCACCCTAAAAAAAGAGATCCGCCCTTGTCCGGATTCCTACTAGCAACGTACATGAAATGCCTGATAAAAACAAGCTGACCAGTCTACCTGACCTCACGTCCGTGCTAGTTGACTAAGTGTGCTCGTCGTTGTGTCAAGTGCCAGCACTGACCACGTCTGCCCGGCTTGAGTTGCGTTGAGTCTGCCCGAGTCATGTTTGTTGTGGATTGAGTCAACATAGCAACCCACGCGGGTCAGATCTGGGTTAAAAAAGCTAACCCGTATGCAAAAACAATTCGGGTTCAGGGTTGGGTCAATTGGTGTCGGATCAGTTTCGGGTTAAACTCAAACTCGACCCGTTACCCATTTTTGACATCTCTAATCATCACAATAGATTTTATGATATGCTCTATTTAAGACGTTTATGATAGTATGTATTAAAAAAATTAAGATTGTATTTATATAACATTTTATGATAACATATATTTAAATTTTGTTATGATATGAAATAAACTATCAATTTTATCTTTTTTTTTTCCTTTGTCCATCCTTTGTCCAATGAGAGCACGCCTAATTCCATCACCCATGTCCTTTAATGGAGAAAAATTATTGATATCATGTTGAAAACAAATGAAAAACAACAAAAGTTTATAAAATTGCCATAAATAAAATAATTTTTTAAAGTTACTGTAAAAAATATTTTTTTTTTTGAAAAAATAAAAAAATATAGTTAAATAAAAATTATGATAGAGATCTGTAAAATAAAGCAAACCATAAAAAAAAACTATACCAAATAAACTCTTTAAGTTTTCCAATCATGTTATTCCATCTTTGTTTTATGATTCAAAGTTAAAGACAAAAAAAGGTGAGAACACAGAAAATTACTGAGATTTGGCAAATTTCAGAGCCTCAGAGAGACCACTAAAGACATTATTGACGCATCATCACCTTCCCATAAACTTACAGT